GTCTCGCCATTTGCCGAGGTCTCTTCGCAGATCGGATAGGTTATGTCAACCGCGAAGTTGCGGTTTGACCGGGAGATTCGCGGAAAGAATATTATGAGATCAATTGACAGGAGGGCACTTTGTCACGGGAAGACCGCGGGCCTAGGTCAGCAGTGGCCGTAAGTTGTCATATCGGTAACTGAAAATGATACTAAGAAACTTAATATTCGAATGCGATATTGCAACCTCTATCGACTGGGACCGAGAAAAAAGTTAATTAAGCTTTGCAACCAGGGAAGCATAGAAAATATCACGCGTGGTCATTATTGCATATCTGAAGTTGCGGTGCTGCCTAACACGTGGCAACCGTTTGGTCGAGTAATCAAAGCACGGCCAGGAAATTTCGGCGGAATCAGCTGTATTATTTCCAGCCATTAAAAGAAATCGCTGGCAACATGGAACTATCGAACTCTGCTTCAAAGGCATCCGATGAAACGGCGTTCGATGAGGCGGCTTCGATTAAACGGCGTTCGATGAAATCGCATTCTATGAAATCGCGTTCGGAAAAACCGCGTTCGATGAAATGTCCGGTCCCACTCCGAATGCTAAAATATCTGGTAAAGAATCAGCGCAGCCAAATACTAGTTTCGGCATAAACTTTTTTCTTTTGTTCTGAAGGTATTTTAAGCGGTATCTTGGATGTGAACTGGGTTTTGTGATATAATTTATCCCTTGGTGCTACGAAAGAACTTGCAAAATAACTGTTAATTGTGTACTTACTTATGAGTTGCTAAAAATAAAACGTAAAAAAATGCCAGACAAGATGTCCGCCGGGGGAGCAAAGCCAGCATACCTTGGCAAACAGCAAAACGTACTGCCGTGCCAATCAATCAGAATGACAGAACATGACAACTCACCGTCGGAGTGCATTCTTGCCTTGAAGAAGTGTCACGTGCTTCGTTCCGTCTCTCTAACTGACTCACGGGGGCATAGCCTTCGCCCTTTGGCAAATAATGTTGACGCGTAGTGTAGGAAAAAAGAAAGGCTAGTCGATACGGTCGAAGTACTACATGTTTAATTAATTGTAAAGAATGAAGCAATAAAACCAAAAACGCAGTATTTGCCGTGAATGAGAGATACAATGTGAACTGAAAAATAAAAGAAATATGTGGCGCCATCTATCCAATATGGTGAGAACTACGGTCGTCAACCACAACGCAACTCCCGAAGAGGCGGCCACACCAGCCCATTCAGAGACTATCGGCCTTATTGCAGTCCTCTGCCGTTACGCCCTATTCGGCCTCAAAGCCACTCTCGGCCCTTCCGCCCCTCTCGGCCGTAATGCACGCTCGGCCGTAATGTGACTATCGGCCTAAATGACAGTGACCCGGAAGGCGCAAGGAATCATCGCGACGTCACGAAATACGCAATTTCCGGGAAGTGCACGGCCTACGCGCGCACAAGAACGCGTTGGTTTGCATAGTGCTTAACGGCTTCCTAAAAGTCTAATGGTCCTTATCAGCGACCTACTTTACTAACCGGATGCGCGAGCAGAAAATTTCGTTATATGGCCGTTGCTTACGGGCGTGCTCTAAAGAAAAGAGGAAAAACCATGGTAGGTGCATTTCGTGGCGAGAAAACATTGTATAATAGACTACAGCATTTTAATGTTTGCTTTGGTGCGAACGTTTTCTTTAAATAGACTTGGTGCAGCGGTAATTATTTGCTTGACAAGTTCTGCGGCGGCTTGGTTGGCCGTGTGCCAACGCTTTTCAGAGCATGAGCTAGGCTGCAGACGACGCGCAAGGGACCGATTCTAAATTCCTATAGGAATTCCGCAGCACCAGCGCTTCGTCGGCTACTGCGGGACAATTTTACGAATGGGAGGATTCTTTTTGTAATGTTAAGCGGAATGTGAACCTTCGACACCCTGCCTCCTCCGATGACGGCCCTACTAGCGGCATCAATGCCCGACAGTTTAGGTCATCTCATATTGTTGTTACACCACTGATACGCGAACACATGGTCACATCGGCGATAATTCCAGTCTTCTGTTCACAACACTGCCATCACGATGTTGCTGCTACATTGCTGACACGCAAAAATACAAAACCACGTTGACTACCGGTTGGCAATCGGCACTAGAAAACAGACCCCCAATTCAGCACAAAAGGCACCCAGGCACCGGGCAGCAAAACCTGACTGTCTTGGACGCAATTCCGCGATTTCCATGAAGTCGTCAACGTCGACACATCCACTGTGGACACGTCGTTCCGCGTGGTGCGCGTGGTCCCGCGTGGTTTCCGCATTCCGGAGATAGTCATCTTAGCCCAGTGAACGTAGCGCTGCTGGCACTGCTCCGGAACTTCACTATTTCTGACGGCTTCGTTTGCTCGTTTGATAAAAATAGTGGTAACAACGTCAATGCAACCGAAATGTTCTGCACGTTTGGACTGGGAGGCGGAATTACCAGCGGCCCTCACTGCCACTGAAGCTCAATCAACAACATGTATTAACGTGTGCGACGTGCTCGAGAAACGAAACCGAAAGATAATGAGTCGGGAAGGCGGAAGTTTTCTCCCGTCTGACTGGAGAAGGAGAAAAACGTCTCGTTCCTCCCTTCTGCTCGTGTCCGCTTGGGGCGCGTCAGTAGAAGGGAGGAAAATGCGCCCTTGCTACGTTGCTACCTTTTTCCTCCATCTTTTCTTAGTGTAGTTCTCTTCTCTCCTTCCCCCCCCCCCCCCCCCCAAACGCGCTTCTCACCCCATCGCTGTTGCCTAGGCAATCCCTTTCGTCACGACGACGATCGCACACCACCGATCGGGTGATGAGGGGTCACACACGGCTAGCTAGCTACAGCCGCCATAGACCATTCCATTTAACACTCTCAGGGCGGCGCCATTTTTTTAGATCCGGGAAGTTCACAAGATCCGGGAAGTTCAGCAAGTTCGGCGGGGTAAAACGAGAGGCACGCGCCCGACTCTGCTAGCAGACGACAAATCGGGAGGTTGCCGTTCTCCATCTGTGGACTGTACCGGCGGGCTGCACCGAACATCGAAATCTCGCTCGTAGCTGTCGTTGTGCATGAGTGGCACGCGTCCCTAGAATATTTATGGCTACTCCAAAATCAGCCTTTAGCGCTCCGTTGTTTTATTTCAGTAAATGATCAACTAGCGTATCCTTGCCCTGCTAATTCAATAGCAGTGGAGTCAGCCAGCAACTCAACCACTGCGTCTATTTCGCCATGAGGGCACGTTTTTACATATTATTCCAGACTCTCACTCATTGTCGCTAAAGGCCTCCACCAGTACGAACTTAGTATAGTAAAATGCCTACAGCAACCGGATTTACTTTTCGGCGGAGCGGCTGGCCACTCTGACACAGTTTTTCTATTTTATTTTATTAGCACGAAGGTAACATCGCAATTAGGCTCCGTTAGTCTTTTTATCGAGCATAGCATTACAAGATAACTTGCCTATTTAAATCCGCGCACCTGCGCTTGAAATTTCCAAAATTACTAGATTTTATACCGAGTGTGGAACGCCAGCCGGACGTTAAATATACACGAACTCATCTCTGTTACGTCACGGCGTGGTGGTGGCGCGTCAGTCGCACTTCCGGTCTGGAGCTGTGGGCAGAAGTCCCCATGCCAGACGTGTATTCCTACGTTGTTTTGAAAGGAACCAGTCAAAAACCTGCCTTCTCGTCAAAACGCCGCGACTGGGGCCGTTCCAAAAGTGTCGATAAAGGCTTGACGGTCAGTTTTCACGTGCTCCGTTCGTCCGAGAATATGGATATGTGCCGTGAAAAGGGAAAAGCAGACGCCGTCGGACAACGATTGCTTGGGCGGGAAGCACTTTCGGTTGTATTCACGAATACTTGTGGTCATCAGATTTATTTATTTTGTTCCAACATGAACGCCAGAAAACCGTTAAGTTGTGCGGACCACCTGCGGACTACGTTCAGTGCGTCTTCAAGTTCAAACGGCCACCTGATCGTTCGAGCTGTCGTCTGCTCTTTCAAACGTTTCTCCTTGTCATCTGCTCTCTTAGACGACGCCGGCCCGTAGACCAAATGTTGGCCCGGTGTTTGCGATAAGAAGTAAGTGCAGGACTGAAAACACTTAAATTTGAAGGTTGGTAAGCAGGCTCGATGTAAACAGTAGATACAAGGAGATGTTGATCATTGTTACCAGTGACCATCACCGACTTGTTATCCCTAATTCACTTGGTCTAAATTCTGCTTGCAATTATCACTATCGACGACATCAACCATCTCAGCTAAGATTCACGCTTTTGCAGCCCGAGCGGCGTCGCAACTGGAAATTGCGAGCGAAATCGCATCATGCTAATCAGGCTTTAGCGTACATACTGCGGCGTCCACGCGGAATGAATCGCCACATGTCACATTATTCACGCGAAGTTTTGTGGTGTAACGAGCCTAGGTAATTTCGCTGACACCGCTCAAATAGTCAGACATCGCCAGGAAGGCGTAGAATCAACAATTCGAACGCAAAAAAGGGCAGGGCGACTCACACCGACGCCGATAACATTGCATTTCATTGGTTTGTTTATGGGCGACGGCGAGCTTCTTGCCCACACCCCCATCGCGCATGCGCAGCGCCGGTGGCACGGCTAGGTGGCGTAAGCTACCGCCCGACACAAAGGGCTCAGCCATATTCATCCATCCATCCATCCATCCAAGCATGAGTTGGTGTATAGCCCACTCGGCGAAGCAGACGACGCCAGGGTGAGAGGGGGATGGCATATTTTCTCTCTCCGCTCTTCCTAGAGGAACGGCCTATAGTCTGTTGGAAGTGAACGTTGTATCGGTTGAAAACCTTTGCAAATGTAGCAAATTATGTTATGTGTTTTTTTTATTTTTATTTATCTGTGCTGAGTGCGTCAATCGCGTGTTTTCCGCCCAAAATGCTAACATGAAGATTTGTGTTATCCTTCACCGTTGCTTTGGTCACTGATTACGTAAAGTAGTGTTCTACTAACGCTGGTTCATTCGTGCAGGAGTGACCGTGAACTGCTGCCATCCAGGCTACGTACGGTCGGACATCGCCAACCGCAGCGAAGATATCCAAACCTGGCTCTTCAACCGACTTCTCGACGCCTATGGCAAGGTTCGCGTCACTACGAATTTGCCTTAATAAGGCTTCTCTTGTGTTAAGCAAAAGTAGGGGCAGTACTTTGATCACACCTCACAAAATGGACGTAGAATAAGAGTTAGGTAAATCTCGCTGAAATTAATTGATGTCCCAGAATCATACCGTAATTTTTGATGAGAACGCCACTGATTGACAAATTTTATTCGCTGCTCTTTCTACAACGGCATATTAAGGCTCGGGGATGTTCAGATTGTTTCCACTGTCTTCTCACTCGTACCTTGCATGAAATAAATGCTATAGCTTGTATTACAACAAATTCGCCAACGTATCACTTATAGCGTTCAAGAGCAGGGTACATGGACGCAGGTACTTGAAGTACAAGGTAACTCATAATTTAGAGGCAAAGCGTCGATTTAAATCTTGTCAGTATAAATTATAGCGGTACTTGCCGGCAATATCATGCGAAACTCCAGACGTGGACTGTGTGCCAGGGCTATGGTTAGCAGACCACTTCCAAACATGGTATCTAGAAAAGAAACTGGAATAATACCCGAGCAGAGGCTGCTTCGCGCAAGTTTATAAGTAAAAATTCACCAAAATCGTTAGGAAATTTTTTTTCGTTCGTTCCGCCATTTTATGTATGCAGCAGGTCATTTATGCGTACGTTTTATACTATTTACACCTTTGTACTCTCCCTCTCCCGCTCAGTATCCGTAACAGTAGACTACTACTGTAACCTAAATATCTGTGTCAATTTTATAGCGCCGGGTGAAAGTGCGGTTCGGAATATGCTAAATGAATTCAGCATTATCTAATCTCTTAGTTACATAATTGGGGTTGTGCGGGTATTTAGACAGCGCAGTTGGTCAGCCATTTTAAAGTAGCGACGCGTCACTCGCTGTAGATGAGAAATTTAGCCAGTGCAGTACAACTAGCCTGGGGTCCCTCCTAGTTACACCAGCGCTCTTAACTGTCATTAAGCCACCGACAGTTGACTCAATCGCAATCGACCGGTGTTACATGGCAGCCACATCTGTCATTGAGCTGGGGGGCTATGTTGCATGTTTTGGACTCCCAGGAGACTAGGGAGAAGGAAGTGACGTCAACAACGCTCTTTGGATGTTGATTGGTGGAGTCGCCGGTGACGCGTTGCGTGGTGCTGCTAAGATACGTTCATTCACAGCTACGTCACTTCCTTCTTCCTAGTCTCCTGGGAGTCCAAAACGTGCAACATAGCCCCCCTGGCCTACATTCTACCTCAGTTAACTGATGGGGGTTCGCCCCAATAGAGCTAAAGATGGCGGAGTCCGCCGCATCGCCGCCCATGGCCAGTGGAAGCGAAGCACTTACTATTGGGGAAAATTGGGGGAGGTATCTAGAAAGTATAGTAGCAGTGAATATTGTCGAAAGAGGTATGATACGGGCTCAGAGCTGCCGCTAGAACGATCACGGCACGTCGCAGAAGCCATAGCTCGGCGAGGGCGGGTATTGTTCTGTCTTTGCCGATAAGACTTCCGCTGTGCCTCTCTTGCTTGAATTCGTGTGAAACGTTCTGGTTACCATTACTTTACTCTAAAAACAAAAGAAAAGAAGTTCGTTTTATTTTGTTTGAAGCATTTATAGTGAATGTAAAGTGTGCAACAAATTGTTTTGCTTCTCTTTTTTTCGTTTTTGAAGGGTAATGTCCCATTATATTTTGTCTCAATTCGGTTTCAACTGTGTCACTTGATTTATATTTAGATAATTTAGATTACTCCGGTTTACGAACAAGATTTATAGAACGTATTTACAGCTTAAACAGGGGGTGGGCTCTTTGATGTCGTACCGACCAACGGTTCCAACTAGGCTTCGCTCGAGGTTGTAGCTTTCTTCTTCTCTTCGTAGCAGATGCTCCTTGGTCTCTTTTCTTGTGAGGTCTGTAGTCGGGCGCGCATCCAGAATTAGCGGGAAATGGCCTCAATATTTAATATACTCCCCGCCAAATGAGCAGTGGTCATTCATCATGAGCTTGATGTGACAGTTGAACGGAACGTCTAATGGTTCTTCCTCCTGACGAACGGACCACGCAGGATCAGACGTGGCTGTCTCGTCCCGGGAACACTTGCACAACGCGGCCAGTTTTCCAGGTTTGTCGCGGGTGGAAGTCGTCGTGCAGTAGCACCAAGTCATTCACCCGTAAATTACTTGATTCTGCTGGTCTGCTGTGATGAAATGACTTTAATGTTCAGAAATATTCTTGGTGCCTGCGCGTCCATAGTGTGGTCGATAGCGTCTCACTGTACTTCCAACGGCGAGTTAGATCGTTGGCTGATGATAACACAGGCTCTCCTCCTTGAGTCGGCAAGGAAGTCAGACGTTTACCGACAAAGAATTGTGCGAGTGTCAATGATTCGAGTTCGTCCTGGTCAGAAGAGATGGAGGTCAAAGGTCGAGAATTGATCACCGCCTCTATCTCCGCTAATATGCTGCTCAGCTCTTCATAGCTTACGTCACAGCACCCCAGAATCTTTTTCAGAGGGGGTCTTAACTGATCGAACCATTTGCTCCGAAAAACCCGCCTCACCAAGCCGCTTCTGGAGGAGTGAATTTTTAGTTGATGCCTTAACTGGACAGGTAGTTGAGTGACTATTGTTCTCTTATTGTTTGCCATATCTTTCTGAATTCAGCAGACGCTCGGTGGAAAGTCTGTGCATTATCAGAGTAGATCGTGTGGCAGAGTCCACGCCGGGCCAGAAAGCGACGAAATGCCAAAAGGAAAGTATACCTGTCTACAAGTCGCTCACCAACTCTAGATGTTTTGCTCTAGTGACTTCGCAGGTCAGTTGCAGAATTATTATTTTTTTTATCTTGAATATGTTCTTGGTGAGGACAGGTCCGGCGAAGTCGAGTCCCGTGACCGCAAAAGGGTTCGCCTCCAACACTCGGTCTCGTGGCAGCGGCGCGACTGGTTTGGTAGCACTCTTGCTGCTCATCCTTCTGCAGAGAAAACAACGGCTCAAGGCCTTCTTAACTACTTGTCGGGATCGTATAATCCAGAACGTCTCGCGCACCTGTGTTAGAGTGTCCATGCACCCTGCATGTAACAGCCGTCGATGTGTGCTAAAGATCGGCAGCTCCACAAGGTGGTGTGTCGAAGACAAAACGACAGGATGTGCCGTCTCATAACCGAGGCCTGAATGCTATAGGCGTCCTCTCAGTCGTAGCAACCCTCATTCATCTATAAATGCATTCAAAGGGCGCAGATCTGACGAGCCACTGCACTGTTCGCCTCGTTCTAGTTGGTTTAGTTCCTCCTCAAAGGGTTCCCTTTGAACTTGACGAAGCAACCTAAAACGTGCCACCCCTATCTCTTCAGTTTTGAGTGGACCCTGGAGACTCTCTTTGGTGTGTCTACAATTATTGACAAGACGTAGTACCCAAGCAGTGACCCGTTGTAGGCGATTCAGCTCCCCAAACTTTCCGATGTTCACCACAGGCATATAGGAGCTCGTAGCAGTATGGCTCACCGTTAGTTCTGAAGTTCTTCTTTCTTCCTTGGCTGCAGTATCTTGGGTACCAGTGGGCACAGTAGGCCAACATCTGAGTGACTCTGCCAGCCACTCTGGTCCTTTCCACCATAGGTCACACTTCTGTAGACAGTCCAGAGGGACGCCCCGGGTTAGTAAATCCGCCGGGTCCTCAGCTCCAGGGCAGTGTCTCCAGTTGCTGGGTTCTGTCCTCTATGGAACCTCCACAACTCGGTTCGCCACGAATGGTTTCCACTGAGTAGCCAGTCCCTTTACCCAGTGTAGAGCAATCATGGAGTCTGCCCACAGCGTCACTTCTGATAGATCTCACTTAAAAACTCTCTTAAAGTAGGCACACAGTCGAGCGCCAGTAACGCTACCATCAGTTCCAGTCTTGGTGGAGTCAAGGTTTTTACTGCTGCAACGCGCGTCTTGGCCATAATGAGGGTGACTGTCGTCTGGTTATCGCTGTCACTACGTAAATACGCGACTGTCCAATAGGCCTGGGGGCTAGCGTCCGTGAAGACATGCAGCTCACCTCAGTTCGACCGCTGTATGCAGCATAGCGACGATGAATCGAAATGTCTTTGAGATGATGTAGAGTCTTTATCCAGTTAATCCATCTCAGACTTAAGCTTGGAGGTAGCGGAGTATCCCAGTCCAGCCCAAGTACCCAAAGTTCTTGAAATAACATCTTGGCTGTTATAGTCACTGGGGTGAGGAGTCCGAATGGTTCGAAAATTCTCGCTGATGCTTGCAGTACAAAGCGTTTTGTGTCACGGTTGATTGTCAGCGGCTCCAACGTGTTTTCTGAAGAGTACTTGAGCTCGTCACTCTCTCTATTCCACTCAAGTTCCAAAATCTGCGTCACACTTGACCTCGGTGTGGGCGTATCACAGAAGAGGTCTCCAACCCCATCTTCGTCAAATCGTTGTTGCAATTACTCGCTGTTGGAACTCCTACTTTTTTAGCTTCATTCTTGCTGTGCTCAATATTTGCTGTATTTCCCTGTAGAAGTCTGTTGCTGCTTTCAGCGTTTCAGTGCCAGCAATCAAGTCGTCCACGTAAAGGTGGGCGTCCAGTACTTTTGCAGTCTCAGACAAGTCTTCTGAGGCGATGGCCAGGTGGTGCTTGATAGGCGCTGCCAGCATGAAAGGGCTGCTCGTTGCACCAAATAGGACGCGCTTCATGCGCCATGCTTCAGTCTCCGAACTTGTGGGGTTTTCTGTAGGGGAACGTGCGCACCACAAAAAGCGAAGGCCATCGCGATCCTCCTGCTTGATAAGAATTTGTAAGAAGGCCTTCTCAACATCTGTGGTGAAGGCAACCTCATGACGTCGGAAGTTGATGATCAGCTGTAACATGTCCGAATTGAGGCTTTGGCCCGTAGACAATGCATCGTTGAGGAACGGACAGCGCGGTGCCTTTGCAGACGCATCAAACACGATGCGTGTCTTAGTAGTAGAACTGTCAGGTCTAAAGACAGCACGATGAAGTATGTAGTAAACT